CTTATAAACGCCAGTTGTATTTCTAAGTGCATGTAATAGACAGGTGCTGACCTCATGCTAAAATATTATTTAAGTGTGGCTATGCTTCAACACAAATTGGCCGGTTCGACCGCAGTGATATCACGGCCTCACAGAAAACCGACGTGAAGCAACGCTTGCGTTGTTATCGTCGTATGAGTGAGGTTACTGGAGGCCCAAATCCCCCTCCCCTTCCCCAATCTGCTCAATCCTCAATAATCCTCAAACTTATAATCCCCAAAAGGCGGGTAACGCACTTATAACGCCTCTGGTGTTCCACTTGGAACACCAGAGGCGTTATACCGCCCATGGACACTTGTCCATGGACGGTGCCGATTGCTTACCATCAGGTGATCCGTCTAATCGTTTACCGGCTTATCCCATAAAAAAATATAGAATAAAAAAACTTAAAGTTTAGTGGTATTTTATCCGATTCAAGAAGGTTTCTCGAATTTAACTTTAATAAAAAGGTGTTTTGGTACATTTTTCTAGGAATACATATCGCGGGATGGCGATTTGGAAGCGTGGAATCATTCATCTTTAATACACTGGGTATTAGATAACTTTTCGCAACCAGTGGCGCGAATAGTGCCGTTATGGAGAAAATCATTTAACTTCGAAAGATACGTCAATGGCAATCCAATACTAATACTGTTTACACCACTTAATCCGTTGTATGAACAGCTGCCATCTTATTCTTTGGTAAGAATTTTTCTATATATAGTTATTTCTAATTTTATTTTGCTAGCATTTCAGTATGTTTGAATATAATCTTTCTCATAATTTTAAGCTCTGTAACATCATTCATTATTATACAATATATTGTGCCCCGCTTTTGAACACATATTTCTGTACTGTCTCGTTCTCATACAGCAACAGAGCTTGATACAAAGCAAAATCGTTATTGAAATTGCAATGTAAATTTTTCAGTTACGTGAAGTAGCCATGGAATACTACAACTGTAAGAACAAGGACACCAGCCACTGGACGTCGGAGTTAGTGAAGCTACAACAAGTTCAAAGACTCCTCTATCAACAGAAGAATTACACGAAATTCTGTAACGAGTTCAAATTCAAGAAACCGGTCAGAAAACATAATCGATTAGTAAAAAAAGGCGTGGAATCGCAAAACAATAAATACCCGTGGTATAATTCTACTAATAAACATCAAAAGAATGGAATATTTAATTTTCTTTTAAAAAGAGGTTTTACTGCTTCTAAAGCAATTGAAAGTGTTGAGGAAGGGTCGCAATGGCTATCTTCATTAGATTGGTTACAAGACTGTGGGATGAAGGCGTTGCCGGCAGAAAGGAGTTTCTATGAGCATTATGAACAATGTCAAACGCTTGAAGAATCCTTCAACCCAGACCCTGAAGAAACTCCAGAAACAGAAGAGTGAGTATTGTATTGAAATATGATCCTTATATATAAGTAATAAGGTTGCTTTTAAATGACGCCTTTGTAAATAAGTAGTAGAATTGGAATTTCTTAAATTCCAATGAAATTTATCTACTATAAATTGGACACTGCTACCATGGCGATATGAGTTATTTTTCTTTGCATTCATCAGTAGGCTTAATCTGTTGTACCTTTATGAAAAATCACAAATTAAGTCCCTTTACAGAATAGAAACAACAATGTTACCGTTTGAAGACGATCCACTTTCATCGGAAAATCTCTTAGAGGACAGCGTCAACCACTTTTGTAAGGTACTCAGATTTGCCCACGAATGGGGTCCACCAATATACCCTACTGACGCCCTGAACATAGATGAACGTCGAACAAATATAACGCATATAGATGGAATGTCTTGCACGCGCAACTTCAGTCTGCATATGATCGCCATTGATAGTGTCAGGAACCACCACTTTGCTGAATCCCTTGGAATAGATATTACTAATAAGAAGGATATGACTGCCGTCGTTATATTGGATAATAAGGTAAGTCAATTTTCTGGAATATACAATACTCAACTTTGTTGTTTTGTAATACAGTCGAAAACGTAAAAATTATTTAGTACACTATACAATAAAATTGCATACGAAACGTGTTTTTAATAAAAATAATGTTTATTTTCCACAGCATGAGAGCCAGTTCTTATTATCAGAGGAATACAACGCTAAGTCAATAAGAGAATTCATATCAAACTTTACGAACAAAAGTCTGAAGCGTTCCCTTCGTTCCCACGTGTATGATACGATGCACACACATTACTTCGGCTCGGATGGTACGTCTGAACAGATGGGCATCAGTGAGAACTCCGTCTATATTGAAGATCTTACCTCAAGAACATTTAGAAGAATGGTGAAGACACCGGGGATGGTAAGTGACAATTGTGTATTTACAATAGAAAATTATTATTTATTTAGTCTAGTTACGCATGCATAAGATTGTGCCCTCTCTTTTCCCTTTATCCCTTCCCCCTCACTGTCCATGTCCCTTCAACTTCTATCCATAAGTTGAGATGGAAGGGGTCATCTTACTTTTAAACTTTTTCCTTGAAGGACAAAAGGGTGAGAGAATGAGGTCTCTATCGTTTTTCTTTCATCCTATGTGGAGGGGGAACTTTCTCGTTAAGTTGTCTTTCCTTTGATTGTTCTTTATGCTATATAATAAGCAAATACCGTCTGCAAAGGACCGACTGACATTTGTTTAACTATCATCATATATCTGTTTGATGTAGTAAAGTGTCTGCTGTAGATGTCCCTGGTGGCGGTATGCGGCGGAGCATGTAGCGCGCGAGTATCTCGTGCGCTGGTGGGCGCGCGGCGGCTGCTGGCGGGCTGCGGCCTGCGCCTGCGACTGGCGCGACTGGACGCGCTGCGGCACGACCTGCCCTGGCACTACACCGTGCATCACTACCCCACGCTACTTGTATTCCCAGCGCATAGGTAATATAAAAATCACATCTTTAAACTTTGCTAAACTAGTAATAATATTGAAAATTTCTCAATCGTGAGATTATGACAACTCTCCCCCCTCATAAGAGGAGAAAGGGCTCAAAACTGAAAATTTTCTAACCAATGATTATAAGTCATCGGCCGAGAAACTTTTTTGCGCAATTTAAAGTTACCACCAAGATCTTAAAGTGACATTTAGGGCCGATTTTCCCATCGCCAGTATTTATCAGAGGAATAAGTTTGAATATTTGACAATTCTTCCATACTAAAAACTGTCAACTGTCAATTTATTTATACAGTTAAAGATTAACTGACTATTGAAAAATCGGCCCTTAGTATCTGATCCAGTCAGTCCAAACTAACCTTTATTATCTGTAAATTGAGATGAAAAGTCTTTTGACGCCTCACGTTTTATACAATGACCTACAAACCACACGTGTCGTAGATAGAGTCACTACTTTGAACTGTTATTGTATGTGAAGGACGCCCTTATCATAGGCTCGCAAATATTTCCAAAAAATGCGTTGTGAAGTGTGTTTGTTTGTATTAGACGAGGCGAGGCGGACAGTGAGTCATATCCGGGGGAGGCTCGTATTACGTCTGCGGGCGCGGTGGCGCTGGCGCTGCGGTCGCTGGCCGCGCCGGAACATTTGCGAGTGAGGATCGCGTTATGTGCTGCGGTGCTGGTACGTTCATACATACTATTCATTGTTTATTTGTAGTTAATAAATACCTTGCTATCTATGTAACCTGTGAGTTTGTCCTTGTTAAGTATCAATAGTTTGGGGCAAAATGTTCACACCCTATACACACGTACCATTTATAACTAGCGAAAACTGCGTGTCCAATATTAAATACGTTCATCTTGTTAGTGTATGTAGTTGTTAACTTATTTATTATATTACAGAGTCACAACGAAAAGAAGACATGTTTAAAAGACATAAAAGAACACGCGACGTCAGTTATAAACAAAAATCTCAGACACTGGCGGCAGATTGAAGACAGAGAACTTAAAGAAGCCTTATTTAAAAGACTGCAATATTTACACACACTCGCGTTGGACCTAAGTTTATTCCACGTGACTGATCTCAGTGAAAATAGTGTGAAACAAGTGTCCCTATCCAATACCCTTAGTGTACTATCAAAGAACTGGGACATCAACACTTCAGCGTTAAGAAAAAATGCCAATGTCTCATCACTAAGCAAAACGAGTTGATATTAGTTGTAACCTTGTAAATAGTGTACATTGCTCATATAGAAATATGTAACTATGTTATTTATTTTTGAAGCCCGAAGTACTATTAAATGTTGAAAACAAACGTGATTCATGCTTTTTTTTCATTCTTACTGGAATATGTTTCACATGTAATTTGTTTGAAGAGTTTAGCTTGTTTAGGTTGTACTGTAGACTACTCGACAATGAGAAAAGAAGTAAGAAAACTGTCTCAGAAAGAGACAGTTGTATGTTCTTTTTTTTTAAGATTCAAGGAAACTAGTTTCAGCGGCTTATGATCATGAGTAGTGTACGTGGTGACTTGGCCGATTGTCTCTTTCCAAAGGTCGACGTACAATATTTATCACCGGAAACAGTACGCACTACTAAATCAACAGACTTTTTTGGTAGACTGCCTCTTACTGTAGTAACAACTTTTGTTGCCACTGGAGATAGGATTGTCGATAATTGGTCCAAATCACGGTTGCCGACAAGATAGTGGAAAATTTAATGGAATGCAGCATGCAAGGCACTTTAGCAGTGTTCGAGATTATAAAATTCACGAAATCGTGGGAAATACCCCACACAGGAAAAGTAACTACAGCTGTGTTATTTCGGAATAATCAGTACCTAATAGCACATGTCGCCGAGTATAGAATTTGATGATAGAGCCTCAAGCCTGATGATAGATAGGTATGTTATTTTTAGTCCACCTGGTCTGACGCAACGCGACAATGCATTACCAAGTAGCCTACCAAACTAGATAAGAGATTAACGTCACGGTTTTTTTCATATTCAGCAATTATTAACAACAAAGTATGTAGATAAATATGTTTATTATCAATCTCTGAATAATATAACCAAATGTGTTCAGAACTCGACATCTCTGCCGAAGAAGGAGAGTGTGTTTTGCTTCGTGCTACTGCGCCAGGCGCGCACCAAGCTTAGCACCGTCGATATAGACTTCTTCACGTACACTCCTGGGAATTGAAGACAGGAGAACAAAACATGGTTATCGTTGTTATTGTACCAATAAAGATACCAATATCGATGGATATCGTGCCAACTATCGCACATGACATATGAATCATCGCCATAATTTATAATCATAATGTAAGTACATACTTGGCTCTCCATCAAATTATTCAGAACCTATGCAATGTATTTCGTGTTTTATCTACAAATAGGATACATGTTTGGTTGAATGATGTCTAGTCACATCTGTCGAGCATGAGGTGTGCGTCTTCTATTCAGGTTTGTGGCACTTCTTTGATAATAGCATAACCGGTGGAGAGAAGAAGGTGCACTGAATGTATCAACCCGTCTGCTAGCATTTCAGCTAGGAATACCTATTTTATAAATATAGGCAGAGTGCAAGTCGATATGAGTTTTTTGCCTGTCTTAGACATTTTTCTTTCAACCGTTCAAGTTCAAACGTTTGTATAAATTTGCATTAGGTATACCGTATACCTGACTAAATAATACAAACCGAGATATGAAGATAGGTACGTACCAAGGTCGCTTGTGTCCGTGAAGTTAGGAAACATTTCGTGGTAAGGCTTGATGAGGAATACGAGGTCAATGCCTACCACACCACTGATGTAGTCAATCAGTGTTCCTGCAACACGCTCGTCGTTACTGCTTTGGTGTACCTGAAAATTTAAGAAATTGCATCAAAGTACCTAACTGGGTACTTAAACTAATTACCATAATATCATTATACCAGCCAATCTTAATCCTTGACAGATTAAACAAAACGGCATAATTTTTAAGAAATCAGCAAATACCTAATCAGTGCTATTAGGTTTATGTTGATTTCTTTGGTTTTCTGCGGTGCTTATCTGAAAAGAATTTGATGATGCATAAAAAATATTCTGACCTCATACAGTCGTCCATCCGGTAGGCGTGCTTGCCTGGCTGCATATTCACCGATGTCTTGTAGAGTGCGATAGTTGCTCGGTGTACGTAAAGAGTAACGCCATGGATACAGGATATATTCCTGAAAAACCACATTTTCTTTACCTAATTAGGTAGATTGCCAAGTTGGCTGAGTGGTCGCAAGGGGTCTTGGGTTCGATTCTCGGGTCGGGCAAAGTATTACTGTTTTTTTTTTTAATCTCAGTAGTTGCACGGAGTAAGGAATTGTGCCCGGTAAATGGCAATAGGCCCTATTACATGGGGCTCATAACATAAATAATGAAAAGTGAGTGTTACATTGTGTCCTCAGTGCATCTTAGAGTGATGTGTGTAATGCTAGCCGCCACGTGTACAGGGACTACGGAAAATTGTGTTTTCCACACTCTCGGTATAATAAGACAGGCCACAGGGGTGGGTATTTGTCAAAAAGAGTCTCCTTAGGCGAGAGGCTCCATAAGGATTTTTCCAACTTCGGGTCAAAAAAGCCGATGAGAAAAGTAGTCAAAATATGTCTGTATTACCTTTTTGGGTATAAAACTGGCGTGTAAATGTATAGCCAAATTGATAAAATCTCCCATTTTATCTACATATTTCCGAACTGCTTGTGCTTCGGCGGTGGAAAATGGTTTCTGACCGGGATAGTACTGGCAACACCGCGTGGGAGTTTTATGAACGTCATCTGAAAAATTCTTTTATAAACCACGTTTAAAAAACCGACTTCAACCCCCATTTTATTAGAAGTCAGTTATTTAATATACTTAAACCTTCTCTCTAAGTGTAACAAACACTTTTTCTTTCTCTAAGTGTAAAAAACCGCATCAAAATCGGTTCAGCCAATGGCAAGATAATGGAGTACAAACATACATACATATAAACATAGCTACAGGTAAAACTGAGAACCACCTTTTTTAAAGTCGGTTAAAAAGAAACTTTACCTTCTTAATCCGTAGATCGTTATGTTAACATTGAGGCACCGCTTGCTTGCATATGTTAATTATTTATTGTTAAATTTTACCTACTGCAACCTAAATGAGATAATGACGTCTAGAAAGATAAACGTGGGAATTATCAGCAAAATTAACTGTATATCAAATTACCTTGCCAATGATAAGCGAAATTCCGATTAATGTTTGTCCCAAAACAGCGTCTATCTTTTTGTTCTTTTTCCAGATCAACATTCTTATGCCATTCTGATGGACGAGTCTCAGCCCTTACTGATACATTCTGTGTCCAATCAACGGAGTTCAAAGGCCGACGCGAGCGAATGTTATGAGTGAATTCAATGCCGTCTGGATTGCCCATGGGTACCAAATACCTTAAAATAATAATTAAAATTAACCCTTACTATTGACCAAACTACTACTACTTATTGGATAAACTCGCAAGTAAGACTACAGAGCAAACCTAAGGTTCAATTCCTGGGACACGAGAAGTGTTGATTTCGGTCTTAAAAACTTTTCACTCACGGTGTCAGCCTCTTAGGCAATAGGAATTCGTGCTATTACTAAAAAAACATCCAAAAACCTGGGAAAAGTAAATGCTAATGCTATCAGGTACTTAGCAGTTGCACTTGGACCAATCGACCAGCGAGGCAGTCGAAAACGGTATAATTAAGTAAAGAAATCTTTTATTTATTAAAAAAAAAAACTACAACAAAATTTTTTCATATTCAGACTCACCAGTCATAATCGTTGAAGAATGGTGTCTGATACTTCGCATCATAGAGCAACTTCTCCGACAACTCCAATATTGCATTAGGAGATGCCCACGCCATCGGGTTTAGTGCTGTTCGGTAAAATATACTTCAAAATAGGTAATGACTAGCTACTCGCGCGCAATTTCACTCACTGCTTGCTCGGTTTTTATGATCAATAGAGCAATCTTTCTAAAGCCTATATAATAACCTTCTTCCATAAATGGACTATCCAACAAAATAAGAGTTAACTATAAATCGCGGGTTACTCACGTGAATATACTGAGAAAAACTCAACCCCCCAAAGTAGGCTGCGCGACGTCGCTGCGACCGCGCACGCTGCTCACGAGGAAGAATCCCTCTGTGGTTCGAAACTAGTAGAGTTTTTCTCAGTATATTCACGTGAGTAACCCGCGATTTTAGTTAATTTAGTATGTATCACGATAGTTATTATAAAAACAAAATAAGAGTTATTCAATTAGAACCATTAGTTCTGGATATTAACGCATTCAAATAAAGAAGCCCTTCAGGTTCAACGTCAACATGAACAGTTCTCTTTTATTTGGCCTACATCACTCCAATACAAATAGGTAGAGTGGAAAATTTGTCACCAACGTCTCCCACTCTTTCTGTGCTGTGGCTGTCCTAAGAAAAAACTAACGGATTGCACATTTAACAGAAGACGTGTAGCAGCTATAGTCATATAACCTTAGAGGTACAAGGCTGCTGAAGTCTAACCAATATCCCTTTAAAGATAGAGGTAATTAAGTACCTCCAACAATAAGTATGCCTGGTTTTCTGGTGTGCCTGTCGCTGCGCAGCTCTACAGCCAAGATACTGCGATTCTCAAATGTTTGCGGAGCCAAGTGCACAACCTTTACCACTTCAGGGTCTCGTCGACGGAAGCCATCAAGCACGTACGATAAAGTCTTGTGGTCAACATACTTCTTGAGTTTCAAATTATCACCTGTACTTCGTGTTGTCCTTATTTTGGCTCCAGACCTGAAGAATCATGATCAATGGATCAATCAATTTAAGTTAGTACTTAATAAAAGAGTAGGTACTTATTTGTCATAAACGGGACTGCTGAGCAATGGGTCTTCTTTGCCTTCAGTCCATTGGTCAGGCAAAATATTATTGAGGTTTTAAAAATTCTAAGTACCTAATTGCACTGAGGTTGGCATTGTGTGCACACCACAACAACATTTGTATATTATAGAAATATAGCCTATTGGCAGAAAATGGACTCATATTTAACATAACTGTGTATAATCTACATTTCACCCTGTATTTATGTAGGAAACACTTAGATTAGTAACAATTCTATGAGGAAACATAACATCAAAACATGACAAATTCTTACTCACAGTTCAAAATTTCTTGGTGGAAACAAGACCATATAGAGAGCCCCTAGAAAATATAAAATAGATATCAAATATATTTTAATTTGTAAAAGCATGTTTATACTTAGAGCTCAAACTCCAATAAATAATGATACAAAAATCAAAGAGCATTAAAAATCTGACATCCGATGTAGTTTTAGACACGAGTGTAGTAATCATTGGTTTTTTGACGTGACATAATTATATTGAACATGTCTTTTTGAACCATCTTTTAACCCCACCCTAAAATTCTATAGTTCTATGAGTTGATTAGCAACTTTAACGAAGAACTATCTATTTTAGGCCCCAGGCCTAACTTTCAGGTAGGTAGATAAATGGTAGATTAGTATCTATCAAGGAGTTGTCTCCTTAAAAGTAGAAAAGGTATTTCATGTTTAAGTTATTGTGTCAACAAGGCAGAGTGGAGGTGATCTAGACATCCCCTACACTTATTATACTCTTTGATCTAGACTTCATCAACAGCGTAGGTATGCCTTGTAAAGGTAGGTATCTATCCACCTTTTTTACATAGAAAGTAAAAGGAGTAGGTTGAGTAAAAAGTTTACGACTTATCTATAGATGTTCATGTAGTATGCAGTGGGAGTTCATTATGAGTTCAGGAGCAGGATATTACAGACAGAAAGTCACTATTAAATAATGTAAGTATCGCACAAATAAAAAAGATTGTTAGAATCTGGCCACTTATGTTCTATATTTTATGACAAATTATTACTCCCGAAATAAATGTCAGCGAGAGGCATCATGTTATGTCAAAATATGAAGATTTTGTTATCATGAAAACTTATGTATTTTTGATAACATTTGGTTTTATACAATTAGTTTTCTGCAACCACGACATCAATGTTACTGACTATGAATCATTCTCTGTTTGTCCAATTAAATGTAAGTATCACTAATCCAGTAATCCTATAACACCAAGGCATTCTCTCGTCTCAATTTATGCACCTATAAAGCCAATACTATATTATTCCACTGTAATACGTTAAAATGTCTTTTGTCTTAGTTTTCCGCCGAAAAAGGTCATTCACAGAATATACGCGATGGCGCGCAAACCAAGAAACTACAAATGAGTTCCTAGTGAAGGTGTTAGATGAAGATTTAACAACTGCAGTCCAAACTCAGCAAATAGTGGCCGTAAACATACAACCTGTGACGAAAGGAGGTGAGAGGATTATCATAGGTGGTGCAAAAGTTCCTCCACCGACTACGTCGCAAGCTACCAATGATGCATTAAAAGATTACACAAGATTTGTACCGCCAACATCCCCGGCTATGACACCTGATGGAGATAATTTCATAGCCCCAATACCACCGCCAAATCAACCACATCCACTCTTGCAAGCAAATGGTCTGTAAAATGTTTTATATTTCAAATAGATTAAATTATTATATAGATATATATTTTGTGACTGCCTCATTGGCTGAGTGGTCGTAAGTGTGACTGCCGGGGAAGGGGTATCGGGTTCGATTCTCGGGTCGGGCAAAATATTACTGGGTTTAAAAAAAAATCTCAGTAGTAGCACAGAATCTGGACGTGTGCCCGGTATATGGCAATAGGCTCACCCCCTTTTACATGGGACTCATAACATAAATAGTTAAAAGTGGGTGTTACATTGTGCAGTGGCATTAAGTGCGCCTCTGCCTACTCCTTCGGGGATAAAAGGCGTGACGTTAAGTTTGTATGTATATATTTTTTGTTTATTTGTTGTGTTTCTTCTGTTTAAGCTTACATTAATTTCATGATTTCAGGCATCTATGCTGTTCGAAATTCACTTCGTGACGATAGTCCACCGGCCAGCCCTCAGTTTCTAGCACGGACTCCAACATTGATGGCACGACAGTATGCACCAATAGCTCCGGTTGCATTCAGTCGTCGTACTACAACAGCGCCCTTAAAACCACCCATTTTAAACGATTATGTACGTTTTTAATTAAATATTGGATAGTATTCTTATCTTAAATATAATTTAAGTGAAAGGAATTCCCTTACAGGATCAAGATTCCCAATCATCCGTTGCAATTCCTTCACGAACCGAAGATTTGGCAGAAATAACAGTCCCACAACGAAGTACAACTAAATTAGACCAATTCCGGAGAATTCATTCATTTGACCCGACTCCAAACTACGATTTAATGACGCGAACTACGTATTCAGTCCCCGCTAGAACAGCACCACCGTTTGAATTTACCGTGGCAAACGACATCGAAGTTGACATTGAATCCACGACTGAACGAAAATTTTTTGATGGTGTCAGAAGAAAAGAAGATGGAACTAAGAGAGACGCTGAAAAAGATTCTGAATCTTCATATAATATGATGTTTTATAATGATGAAGATAGCGATAGTACAAAATCTAATAAAAAGGAAGATCAAGAATTAAGTGAGAACTATTATGAAAAAAAAGGTGTTCACGATGAGGCTCTAGAAAAAGATTCGACTGATGCAAAGGAAATAGATATGGAGTACGCTGATAATAGAAATGCCAGTTTAAAAGAGTTACATATTTACCAAGAACAGATTAGTTCTGATAACATCACGGTGAAAATGCCAGCTAAAGGTGTAATTGGCATTCCCGGTATTGAAGAAGTAACAAGTAAAGGATTTAAAGATTCACTGCGAGACAAACGTCGTTCGATTTGCAGTTTACTTCAAGTTAGGCAACTGAACTTTAATTCACCACGAACTTTAGTAGAGGTATGAAACTCTTTTCACATCTTTATAAATGAGCACATAATCATTACTTACTCTTTGTTCGAATATCCCGAAGGAGTGCACATATTAGATGTTTTTTCTCCAGTTATGTTATAAGTCCAAGAATATTGTCACATACCCACCACACGCAGAACATTAGATTAAGAAATTCTTTTCGATGATTGATTATACGAAACTAAACAAACCTATAATATATTGTTTAACTTGAAAACTGAAGCACCCGTTGATGGATTCTATAATTATACTTGTGATTACTGGAGCAATGAGACAGTCTATAAACAAGTATGTTATGTATATAGTAGTTACATAGTACATAATAGTTTTCTATACTATCATTAAATTATTTTTAGATAACGAATCAATTGAAACTATGGGCGGATGAGAGTCCAGTGGCCAAGTGGGTGGACATAACACATGGAAATTTCACCACCATGGAGAATCCTATTTATATGATGATAGTAGATGACCCAGCTAGCGGTCAGATTGTTTCTGCTAAACAAACTGTTATGATTGTCGCAGGTGAGGACTCAATCCTACTAAATCTCAAGCGCATAATGCTGGTAATTATCAGTAAATAATGTTTTAAATCATGTTGGATTTGTTTGTAATACTTTATTGAAAATTAAATGCAAATTTGTTATTTGTTAGCTTGCATCTTGGACCAACTTCATAACCATCGGTTTGTATCTGTATTACCCAAGGGCTAAACGAATATAAATGTTTAAGGCATTAAGTCCGCTTATTAGTGCAAGAGCATGAAGTGTGTTAAGTACTTAAATAAAATCTGAAATAATATTGAATATAAAATCAACTTCTTTTTTCATTTGAATATCTTCACTGAATTTGTAACTTCTTATTTGTCTAACGAGCAAAGGCTCTCAGGATCGATACCCCAGCAAAGATTTATTGAAAAATTGTTAGTCTGCCCAGTTTATAATAGCAGACTCACTGAAAGATATGAAAAATAACTTTTGAGAATTGGATTTCCATTCTATACAATTAATTATGCACCACCTAGCTCACAGGGGTTTTAGTCTATGATAATCATGAACAGGTATGCAAGGACGAGACCACCATGCCGTGGCCGCCGCAATGTATGTGTTGTATCAGCTCGTGGAACGTAGCGAAGCACACGTCGACCTGCTGACGAAGTATCGCTTCTGGATTATACCAGTATTCAACCCAGATGGATACGACTACTCTATGACATTCCCACACGTATGTTTTTTACTGTAATTTTCATACTATTAGTTGCACGGTTCGTTTCATCGTTTTTGATGTTCGTCAAAAATCTTGGACACCCGCTACGTCGTTATAAAAGAAAAAAAGTTGCGGGATGATAGTTACCCTTTACCCAATTTCGAATGAATCTCAGTATTTTGACTCAATTTATAAAGATGATAAGATATTAAGATACATATTTTGATAATATTCTTTCTTACCTATTCTCATTATCAATTCATTGTGCTTCTTGCTTCTTGGCTATTCACATTGTTGTCATGTCATGACGTTTAGTATTGTAACAGACACAGTACACGAAAACATTACTTGGAGGGTCGAAAACTCTAACAATTAGTGCTAAACCTTTGCAAAAAGTGATTCTAATTTTGTTTTTAATTTTGTAGAGACGAGAATGGTCAAAAAATTTACGTCAATTATGGGACACGTGTAAGGGACGTGATTATTGCAGTTCGTGCGAGACTCAAGGGATACGATGCACTATTCAACCGTGCTACGGCGTCAATCTCGACAGGAACTTTGAATATCAATGGATTCCTGGTGAGAATAATATATTGTCATTCTGTGTTTTTTGTTAAAGATATTTGTTTCACAACTAACTAAATCCAACTAATTAAATAAGGCTGTAAGATGAATTTAGTCCCCACAGTCAAGTTATCTATTCTATAGCAAAGTGAAGATATTGAAACGCATTAAACCAGTCAATACTTAAGTCATAATTTTAAAATACAATGTATGTGTGATTGACGAGGTAAATCAACTAATTTCAAGCTTTGTGATACTCGCCCACACTGACATGTCGTCATGACTGTAAGCTCCTTGCTTCGCTTGAAACTACTACAGTTACGTGTGTAAGCCGTAAAACATAATTTTACATTTAATATTATTGATTGCAGCGGATGAATTACGAGCCGAGCATCCATGCGGCGAACTGTACGCAGGGCCACGCCAGCTCAGCGAAGCAGAGACCCGTGCTCTTACACTCTTCATGGACGAACAACGCACACCACTATTCACATTCATTGCATTTAAAGAAGGGAGTGTACTCGTAAGTTTTATTATAATTTCACATCCTATAAGTGATTGTACATAAATTACAATCTATCAAGATAGTATAACATGTCTGTCTCATTAAGTACCTACCTACGTAAAAGTCGGCTAACTAGATAAATGGCATAAAAGTACATTTTTTCCAGTAAAAACTGGTTCACAACTGGTCTAAATCTGGTTTAAGGAATGCAAATATTATCTTTTGTTTTGTTTTCAATTCCGAGAATATTATATGTTTCTTTTCCTGGTAATATAGGTAGATATATACTTATAATAAAAATGAATCCCCTTTTCCCTTGGTCACGCACGGCATCACGCGTGAATGGCTGGACCGATTTCACTAATAATTTTTTGATATTTGTTATTATTAGGAGAAGGCTCTTAAGAAAGAAAAAAAACCTGTAAATCCTACGGGAACGGGAGAAAACGCGATTGCGTGTACGAAGTCGCGGGCAGTAATAACGTCCGCGCATTAATAACATCAGGCAGAATTTAGATTTTTGACTCTAGTCCCCTTTTCCTAGGCCTATTTCTATGTATGATATTAAATTTCAATCAAGTCGGTACTTCACTTTTTATTTATTCTAAAATTGTAAATGATTACGTGGTTTAAAATACATAAAATTATAGTTTTAAATTTTACGCACATAAGTCTCGTTTCTGTAGGATTTTCGTAATAAAAAGTTGTGATATATTTCACTCTCATCAGCGTCAAGATTTATCTGACACACAGTGTTGTCGGTTTTACTCGTACCTATAGTTCCCGTTCCTGTGAGATTTTCGGAATAAGAACTATTCTATGTCCTTTCACGAGTCTCAGACTATCAATGTACAGAATTTCAGTTAAATAGATTCAGTAGTTTAAAACTACTGGAGTCCCGGGATTTTAACGCGTAGCTCCCGTTCCCGTTGGGTTTTGGGTTAAAACCTGTTTAAGTCCCTTCTCGGGCTCAAACTATCATTGTACGAGATTTTAGTCGAATGGACTCAATAGTCTAAAGTAAATAGCGTCCCGGGATTTTAAATCGTAGTTCACATTCTCCTGGTGTTTCCTTCTTTCTCGGGTCATCAACTATCATTGTGCGAAATATCAGTTAAATGGGCTGTGTAGCTTAAAAAGTTCCGTGGGGTTTCTGAGATAAAACTTATTTAGGTCTCTTTTCGGGTCTCAAACTACAATTGTACGGAATTTCAGTCAAACCTATTTGGTTTAGTCCCGGGATTTTAACGTCTAGTTCCCATTTCCGTAAGGTTTCTGGGATAAAACCTGTCTGAGTGTAATTTGGGGCTTTAATTATTACTTTATAAAATTTCAGTCAAATAAGTTTGAATTTTAAGACACATAGACCTATTTAGACGTAGATTTCCTGTTTCTGTGGTAGTTTCAAAATAAATCTACCCTAATGGATCGCCTATATTGTTCTCTGGGTCTCGAACTGTAGTTGTAGGTATCTAATTTTACCCAAATAGATAGGGTTTAGAAAAATAAAGAGTCCCGCATTTTTTACGCAGATTACCTATTCCTGTGGGTGTCCGGGAAAAAAGTATCCTATTTTTTTTCGAATCCTAAACTATATCTGTACTAAATTCCACCCAAATAAGATTAGTGGTTTCAGTGTATCAATTTCTTTTAATTTGTTAGTCGTAGTTAGTACGAAAAATGAAAATTATTTTTTAACCTTGAACTATAGAGCAATTAGACCTACATAAATATGGCCCTGCATCTTAACCTCTCTGCTCTAGTCGATTTTGATATGCGTCATACTACTTGATGCGGCGGGAAATTATGAAATATGTCACAAAATGTAGAAATTATCATCAAGTTTCAACTAAGAATTTTCAATAAATAGTTAGGTGACCATTTCATAGTGCTGTTTTATCAGAAATATCTTTAATTGCGTGCTTGTGACCAACTTACATTAATAATATCGTTCAAAATTAGTAAAAAATCGATATAATATTTAGACCTATCGAAAAAGTAGATGACTTTAGTTTTACATAAACTACACTTATTTTTAATTTACCTATTTGTCAGGTATTTATTATATTATATTTGTGTTAGGGAAAAATGGGGACTCAAGGTTATTTTAAAAATATTTGCCTAAATTTTAATCACTATTCATACAAATTTGACACAAAAAACACCAAAATCACATACGATTTTCAGTGGTGGTCATCAGTGCGTAATTTTTAAATATTGGAATATATTGGAATTGATTTTAGAAAATTGTATAATATTGAAATATAAAAAAAATCTATTTGTCTTGGTAATCTAGGCAGAATTATTGAATCACGCAATCGCTTGCCACTCACTAAAAAAAGTAAATACATATGGCCGTCAATGTCACATTACGAATTTTAAAATTTTTGTACATGTTTTTTATATAATTTGACACCAAGGAGGGTTTATTCCAATTTACAAAAAAGAAAATCTTTCTAGCCCTCTTTGACCCTGTTAGACATTGAATTTTCATAAAATGTGAATCAAATCTTCATTCAATTCTATTAAAGAATGTTCATGCGAAATTTGAAATAGATCGGACCTAGGAATCAAGTTCTTTCATACAAAACTTTGACCCCACTTTTGACCCCCTTGGAGGTCGAATTTCGAAAAATCGCTTCTTATTGTTCACCTACGTTACCTAACTTTGACAAAGAATGCAGGGTGCATTCTTTGTCAAAGTTTCAGATTTTTCCGATAAGCGATTTGGGCTCCAGCTTGTTTCCTAGATTTTCAGTTCAGGACAATATCTGTACATATAAATGTGTATATAAAAGGCCTTTGATATAGATTTATAGTTGACAGTTTTTAGTATGAAAGAATTGTCAAATATTCAAAGTTATTGTTCAAATATTCCCGCCCCGCTTTGCCAATCCCTGAATCCCCAACAATCTTCAAATTCCTAATCCCAAAAGGCCGGTGACGCACTTGTAACGCCTCTGGTGTTCTAAGTGTACATGGGCGACGCCGAGTGCTTACCATCAAGTGAACCGCGTGCTCGATCTACCGGTTTAACCTATAAAAAATATCTACCCCTCCAGGCGGTGAAAATGACAGTTTAAAAGACAGAGAGTGAGCTGCCTGGTTTCCGTATATGACTAGACCTTAACTTAGTCGGCCTTCACGACACCTGCATATAAGTTTAGTGTTATATATAGCAAATCCTAAATTAATAAACCGTACATTACCAATACATACTTAATATCATTATAACTAATAAATATTAATCTCTTCCATAAAGATATATAGATTATAAGCATTTAAGCAATTATGAAAAAAAGCAATTATTGAACAGCGGAGTTCACTGGGTTAGGTAGCGCAAAATTAAACCAAATGACAGGTCAATGACGTCACTTCAGAAATGAAAAGTGCAAAAACATATCGTACTCTTTTTCGAAATTCATAAATATAACCTGCCCCCAGGAAAAAAAAAAGATTGGTATGATAGTTTTCAAAAGTAACATACCTAACATAAGGAAACAGGGGACACCGGTGCCATGCGTCCTGAGGTGGACTGCTAGTACCTAATTGTATAGGTAGGTAAGTGAAAGTGTATAATGCCACGTGAAACTTGAAACGGTTAGGTACTTTAGAATCAGATTACCTAAATTTTGTTTATAAAGATTTGATAAAAATGTATACACATTCTTGACACTGATTAGGAAATTCCATTACAAAATGTTGAACACAAAATTCGTCATCATATTATGTAGGTATACCTATTACCTAAGTAGGTACATACATATTCGACTTAAATAAAAAAATATTTGTCACCTAAACATAAAATTGGCCTAATCCTGGCCCATTAGTAATATATCAAAACATTCTGACAATAATAATAATTAATCAATGATAAAAGTATCTAATAACGTGCCGATTCCATTTTTAGGCTGAACGGTCCTTTGGAAGATCGTCATTTATTTCAAAAGTAGGTCATATTCAGTGGCCAACATTAATTATAAAAAATTTGAATTAATTCAAATGTCAAATATATCTGGAAAATGGAAATGAAAACTAAAAATACAAAGTCTTTTTACCTTAGCCCACGTTACGATTTAGTCCCGTGTCGTGTACAAAATGTACCAACGTAAAGTAAAATTAGGTAGTAAAACCTAAATCTGCTTTATAAATGCTGAACGATACATAATATGTAAAATAAAACAAAAATAAACAATTTACACAAACTTATTACTCATGTTTACAGGGCCATCTGATGTCCATTATGATTAGGTACCTATGTTTAAATAAATCCTTAAACTTGCGTCAGTGTCTACAATTAATCGACATTATTATGACTTATTTAATGGATTTTCCAGATATAATCTGTTTAAGAAACGAAAATATTGGTTTTTATCAATTATATATGTTGAATCACTTGTTTTGCTACTTTTGAGGAGATGTCCACTCTGATTGTCATCGAAATAGATAATATTTTGAAATAAACACGAGGATAATAGATAATTATTTTCAAATCTTTCTATCTTACTTGTCTATAGGTATGTATATAGATATATTAGTCATAAGTTTTATTTTAATGTAAAAAACCCTATAAGTAATCTTTAAATAATCGAATATCTTTACGATATATTTAGAACGATGTTTTTATTTATTTATATTACCAAATAGGCTCTAAAACTATCAAAGTTGACTTTAAAAGTGATTTTACCAAACTTACGTTTCGGGGTACTACTATTTAATTTTATCCCGAGGGAATGCAATAGGGGTAGATGACTAATATTTATTATAATGACCGTCTGGTAGATAATTTAAAAACATTAGACACTTATTTTTTTTTTACAGAAACGAATAGTTTCGAATATATATTGATTTTACAGTACAGTTTATATGTAAAAATTACGTTTTAGCCCCCACTCCTAAACTTTGATTCTTTGTATCTAAGTATCATTTTATTATACAACAAAATAAAAAATACGTGTCTAATATTTTTTCATTATCTATCTGACGGACTATATAATTACATTTTTAATTTTCATACCCTGTCATCATCCCCATTCGATCTAAAATATTAGCTGCGGGGAATCTTAAAATTACTTATATTATTTTCGATGTTTGTCTTGAAATCTGTGGTTTAGCAGTAATGTGAATACACGATAAATTGAATAGTAAAAAGTATTGCCAAATATTCAGGTACAACCATTATTTGTGATGTCATCGCTATAAAAGTGCAGTACTTACCCATTACGTTTACGAAAGAGATAGCGAGATTACGCACACCTACGGTACGTCGGTATATTCAAAATAAACTAACGATGATTAAAATTCACATCAAACTTTTACACTCAATTTGGAATACCATTTCAGTAACATATTAATTAATTATTTGCAAATTGTATTTCCATTTTAATACTGGTAAAAACTTGAATAGTGGTAACTATTCAAGTTTTTTCAACCGCGACTGAAGAGCAGGCTGTTTGGAATTTGTAGTCGGAATCACTACAAAAGTAGTATAAAACAAAGTCACTATCCGCCGCCTGTCTGTCCCTATGTATGTTTAGATCTTTAAAATTACGCAACGGATTATGATGCGGTTCATTTAAATAGATAGAGTGATTCTTAACGAAGGTTTATATGTATAACACAAGCATATTGCACTCGTGCAAAGCCGGAGCGGGTCGCTAGTAATATTATAAGTGGGTCACCCTCACCACGTGGACTCATTGAGTCCGACTCAATGACATAGCTGGTGAATGATGTTAAAAGAGGTGCCCATATTAATTAACTATGACATTCAAGGAATAAAAGATGAGATGCTATGTTGAGTAACAAGATTTTTGTTTCAGGGGGTCATGTATCCATATTCACACACGAGGAAAAAGCGTGCCTACGATCAAATATATGTTAGTATTTCTCATCTTTTCTAGTCACTATGTTTTTTTTTTAAAAAACGTTGCTCCACACTAGAATTTTCTCCTGTGTCGTGGTTGCGTTTACAAACAAACAATATCACAGACACATGACGCCCATACCCGAAACAACAATTTGTGAATCACATAAAGAGTTGCTCCGTGCGGGAATCGAGCCCGTTACTCGTTGCGCGGCAGCCGGTTGCCCAACCATCGCGCCAACCCTGATTTGATCAACCTATGATTTTCAAAACTAAACATAAATAGTCGTAAATAGTAGTAATAAAACCTTCATTGTCTTCGGGAATTGATTTCTGTAATAAAATCGTTTCTTGGAAATATTCCGAGGAATATTTTTTAGATTACTGATTTATACGCAACTTCTGCCATTGTGTAATTTTTCCTGCTTTTTCTTTATAATCCTTTGTTGTGTCAGCTAATTAATAACTTAGTAAATAAATGTACTCTTTAGATTTTTTTGTTATGTTTGTAGAGACAACGAGCTACGAGAGCTGCTTCGGCTGCGTTTAGCATCAGCAACCGGCCGTACGTGGCTGGGCAGACATCAGAGTTCCTACGTAAGGTTTAACCGTAACTTTTAAGTACGAAAACAGCAGCCATTATAATTAATATTTGAAGGGTTCGAGAAAAATCACCACATTAATGAATTAGCCCCCGTAGCCAGTAGCTGACCGCCTAGCTAGGCGGTTAGGATGACCTGACGCGGTTGCCATAGTAATTATATCGTGGTTTTGTATCAAAAACGGTAAAAGCGGCAAATATGGGGACAACAAGCCGCGGTTGACCGCTAATGCATATGGGAGCTTAAACTCAGAACGATAATACCTCGGTCGTCTGTTTCAAATGAGAAAGATACTTACACAAATTGGTCTAATGTCTTTTAACATATTTTTCAGCACTTTATGCTGGTGGCATAGAAGACTGGGTTGACGGCCACCTGGGTATCGATAACACATATAGTATTATGATGTTTCGACCAACGGATTCGTACAATTCTAAACTTATTACAGAGGTACATAAAGTTTAATATAAATCCACGTATTTGGTTTTAAATTTCATGTTATGTTATATTTATGTCGTTAATATACTTATACATAGGGGGGCAAAAAAAGCAGATGGATTATCTTTATGGTTGCTTAACGTCTGTGGACAGGATCTATGGACAGTCGTATTACCGGCGGAGTATAAGTGTAATGGATATAATTAATATAAGGGACAATGAAGTAAACAGGACAAACGTAGAAAACTCTTGTTCGATAAATTAATGTATTGTAAAATGATAGTAATGATTAAATTTTATGTTACAGCGTGTTGTTCACGAAGCGTTTGCAGCCATGGACACTCTGCTCTTGCAAAGTATGATGCCCACGCTTCCCCGGCCGGTCACATTAGCACGTCAACGCATCCGCAGTTCCTCCTCGTTTACAAGTCCAACATGTTTAATGACATTAATACCTATAATTTTACTACTTAATAGTTAAAACTATCATCCTTTGTGGTAGCAATAACGTATACTGTATGATTAGAATCACAGTAGCTAATTTTGAATGAAACCTTTCAAACGTTGAGTTTAGAAAGTGTTGTAATTTACGATTCCTAAGAGGAAGACCAATGGAATTAATGACGGATCGTCCTTTTCCCAATAACTTTGTAAGTCAGTAATATTATCATGGTAACTTCGGTGTGCATCAATTTGTAACATTATGGTTTGAAGAATTATGTTTTAATTTTATAAAACAGCTTATGTACACAAAGCACCGCTAATTAGTTGCAGCGCTACACATCGACACAACTGTCATTTACACAGTGTACATGTGTGCGTAATTTCATATAACTGTATATAAAAATATTCGTCCACCACGTTCACATTGGTATTTTCATTCTTGTGTCGGTATACGTATTTTTTATAATTTAATGCATAGGTAAGGTTAAAACTATTTACAATCATTGATATGACCCGACATTTTCACTGTCATTATCGTAGTGCTCGTGGTCGATTGGTTAATGAGCACGCTTTTATCGTCTTTCAAGGATCAATGATGTGGGTTCTATTCCAGCTAAAAGTTAATTTTATTTTACCTTGTTATTTTTCTTATTTTTTTTTTGTTTTTTGTCATAAAATATAAATATCAGGCTATAAAAGAAGCAAATGAGTTGGTAAATAAAACAATACTATTTTTTATTACAATTAATTTATTTATTATACAAATATGTTGTTTTATATTCAATATTTATATCTAATAATTAATTATATACCACATGTTAAGTTTAAAGTTCTTTAAATCATAATTAATAGATATGACAATAAACCTCATAGTCGAATCGGGAAATATCATGCGGTACAGCGGTAATACGATGGCAGCAACATTTTTTATTAAGTAATAAACAAATATACAACATTCTTGTTTTATAATTTAATAATATAATGTATTATTAAACTGTCAAACACCAAGCGGTCACCGGTGACCGCGACCTATTGTTCTTTAATTGTGTCTATAAAACCGGTACTCGACGAGTTAAATTACAGTTTTACAGTAATAAACAAGTAAAACATGTAAAAAATTACACTGTCAACATAATATTTCTTGAAATGGGCGACTTTTTGTCGTTTGAACTTCCATTAATTATCTATTTTACGACGGTTGTTTATAAGGTTCAATATTCAGTGGGCTGTATGATAGTAAAAAGAATGTGACGAATGCTATGGAACGATTTTAACTTTCATGACCTTTAGAATCAGGGAAACTTTAAATTAATTGAAGATGGGCGTAAATATAATATGTCAATCAAGTTCGAAAGCAGTTAAATAAATTTGTTAATGAAAAATTAAAGTGAAGTGAATAAACATGTTGAATAGAAAGAAATTATGACAATTTCTAACCACAAAACAATAACATCACTTCACCGTATGTTCTAGACAGCATTTTAATATTCTTAAAAAATTAAACATTATTTTATGTTAATTTTAATAAAGGCAGAGTTTGACAGGCTCAATAATTGATTCCGAAATCAATACAATCACTGATCCTACAAGGCAGAAGGTTGCAATTCGTATACCTTTCTCCATCTTTTCTTCACAATATTTTACGCCCATCCTTATCCGACTTGAAAGTCTTTTCGTCGCTCAATATGATTACACTGTTCGCCCAATCAAAATTAATAAAGTCCTTAGCAAATTCTTAGCGCTTTTGCTGGTGAACCACAGATAACAATATTTTCTTCTCTGGCTTCCTGCACCTTAAACCAGAATGCAGGTGTCTCCGTACAGTTTGTATTAAAACATTCAGTGCTGTCGCTGTAGTGCGGGTTGGCAGGAACGGATCAGCCATGTGCCTGGCTACGATGTCGTAGTGCCGAGCCGATGAATTTGCCTTTGGTTTAGGCCCACGTCGACGATGTTTAACGTCACCGGTCTCCGCATATCTGTGCACCCATAACTGCATGGATCTCCTCTGTTGATACCAAACAAATAAGTATTTAAAATACCAGGAAATACTTTACAGGAATTAAAGTTACTTAAAAATAATAATAAATATAAGTAAACACAATGTTAGAATAATAATTTATAATTAAGTAGTGGCGTAAGGAATAAAAATCCCTAACCAGATATGTTTTAAAGAAACACTCCTAACAAAAACAAGTCAAGTTACAATACAATTAATAATAAATTATTAATATATCTTTATAATATTGAACTTCATAATAAGTTGCAATAATTATTTTATTCTAGTGCAAAAATTGATAGGTGTGTCGAGTTACAAAATGAAATAAATATTATTTAGAATATCAACGTAGTATCTTATTTACTCACCGATATCATTAAACGCCTTGCTATTTCAGTTATTGTTAGTTATGTTTTGCTCATGCAAAACAATGGTTTCAGCCTTTTTAAATGTTGATAGGTGTTGGAACATCTTGTAAAAATAAAAATAACTTTGCACACGAATATAAGTAGTGTAGCAATAAACTATGAAATCCTCATAAATTGACAACTAAGAACGCAATTATTTTGTAAGTCGGGTGATTTGAAAAACATGTTTTAAATAGTCGGTAGTTACTTCATAAGCGTGTAAAATAAAATGACTCGAGATTTCTATGGTCGCCACAAACATTGCAAATATACTCAGGTATCGAACCATTAAGAAATCACAGTTAATTACTTTTTTACTGTTTTTATCTTATTTAAGTTGGTTGAAATGCATGAAGCAAATGAGATTATTCTAAATAATAAATAACTAGAACTAAAATATAAATAAAAGATATTATAGGTATAAATAAATCTAAAGTATTTACTATTAAAATTAACATAAGATTTAGAACAATAGGAAAGGAAAAAAAAGAAAAGATTTAATTGTTTCTAATTTCAAATTTCAAATATTTGATAAATTAATTCTAAAACAACATGTGAATGTTGGAATCGATCCGGCGGCACTTTACTTGACAATTGGAGGCGATAACCATTGCGCCAAGCGCGCTGTAGATGAGATCATCGAAATATTTTATATCATTCAGTAACATAAAATTACAATGAGAAAGCACTATATTTATATGGGTATTGTATAGCTCGATCGTTCATTATTTTTGATTTCGATTTATTCAAAGTTTGTTATGAGTAATTTTATCTTTACCCTCGTTTTTATTTAAACTTATTTACTAAATTATTGCGTATACCGACACAAAAATGATTTTTAAATACCAAGATGTGTGTGATAGACGAATGTTTCTATACATATCTATTGATATGAAATTACCCACACATGTATATTGTGTAAATGATAGTTGTGTCGATGTGTAGCGCCGCTAACTAATTAGCGGTGCTTTGTGTACATTAAAATATATTAAAATAAATGAGTTTTCTTTGAAAGTTTGCTACATTTACTTGTATTATTTTATATGAAATACCTCAACGAGAGTGTAATTAGTTTCAGAGATGTGATATGTTTTTGTTGCCACTTTGTTTGCTGGTATATTTATGAAAGGCGTATTTTGAGTATTAATACTTTTACCATTTTCTTCACTTAAACCGGGCTCGAAAACATCAATCACGTATTTGAAATAACATGTACTTTTTTAAACCTAATCTCAAAGGTAAACCTAGTAAACTCAGAGGTAAAACAAACTGGGCCTAAAATGCTGCCCTAATGAAAACCGAAAGTTTAAGTCGTTCATTAACCAATTACAATTTTTATCTCTATGGCTTTTATTAAGGGAGGTAGACTTACAATATTTCAAATGGGAGGCAACACACTCTCACAGGACATGTCACCTTCAACAGAAGACGTGGGTTAGATACTGAGCCAAAGGGCTTTGCTAAACCCAAGAATACCGTAAACACTTCATATGCCTATAAAGAAAATTTTACACGTTTACAATTAAAATACAAATAAACATACGCCATCCACTTGTCCCTGGTGGAAGGACTATTTTAATTAACAAGTAGAAGTAGATTGGACCTCGAACACTGATAAGTTGTCGAATGATTATTTATCAGAAGTAAATATTTAGATAATAGTTCAATAATGATACATAGCTTATAGATAATACTAGCTGGGTAACTACAAGATGCGCAGGCTATTCTTTAGCTATAGGTATCTACTCAAGAAATTCACTCCAACTTATATAGCTAGATAAATATAAATAGTTTTCATATACCTAACACCTACGTCAACATGGACAAAATTAGTTAAAAATCCCGAAGGCCAAACGAGGTGATTCATAAAGCTGTCGAATTCAGTACCTACTCTAAGGATGTTGCAAATATTGAAAGATATTATTTGACGCTCAAAAAAGAAAGGTACTATAATTACAAAAAGGGAAAAGCTTAAGGAAAGTAACGTATGTTGGCAAACCCTTTCATACTATAATGACTTTTAAAAGTCATCTGAGTTGTAGCATTCTTCTGTACCGGGTGTCCATGCTCAACGCTGATCACTAACCATCAGGTGATCCGTCGGTCCGTTTACACACAATCCTATAAAAAAGTAATCATATACTCAGTCTATACTTTCAACCAGTAGAAAAAAAAGGCAACTGGAGATAAACTATTTTTTTTTATTCAGTTAAACCCCAAAGACAAAGTGCTGTCAATCTATCAAAACAGCCAGTCCATAGCCATTACGTCTAAAAATCAACATGGTATGGATTAGAATCACGATACTGCCAAATCATTCAATGTCGTCATTGTCTCAAGGACGTGATTTAGGTAATCGAGTAATATATTTCATCCATTAATTGATAAAACAATCAAAAGGTAACTTTCAATCAAGCCATCAAGTTGAACGTGGTTAATTTTTTATTTGCTAACTAGTTTTTACCCTGTAGCTTTCCCTGCGCTCATTTTCCATGAAAGCTATTCTACCATACTTACTCTCAACTTCATGTTTATCTACAAAATCTCAAGCAGATTGGTTGAATAGATATAGAGTAAAGAGGTAACAAATAAAGTACTTTTCTCATTTTAATGAGAAAAGTACTTTATTTG